TTGGGCATTTGTTATTTTCTGATTGAAATCCTGAAAATGGAGACCTCCAACTATTTGTGAATGGAAGCAACGCAAGTAAGCAGCCCAACCCGTGGCCTCCCCTGTGCCCTGGGCAGCCGTGATGGGGGGGGGGGGCAGTGAGGTTGCCAGCACCCCACCCCACTGATGCTAGTTGACAGTTATTGAGAGAATGTCTTGCCCAGGCATTAGGGGGGGGGGGGTGTCACCCTTGTGAAGAGTCAGCCACTTCCTGCAGCCCTTTCCTATCTCAAAGCAAGCACCAGGTCACAGGAGGCAGATATGCGTCTGCCACCATTACTGCATCTTCATGGGAGAGCGCTCGCCCACTCTGACCTGTTCTGGGCCTGCAGAGCACCCTCCATGCTGCCCTCTCCACATGCTCAATTCTGGGTGTACCCTGCATCCAGATGCACATCAGCTTTCTCCTCTGGGAACACTCCCCGATCCACAGTGCAGGGCCCAGGGTCATAACTGTGTTTAAGACAACCACACTCACAACCTGCCATCAAGTCCATTCCGACTCATAGCCACCCTGGACCGGGTTTCCAAGGTGGTAAGTCTTAACAGAACCTGGTAGTCTCATTGTTTTCCTGAGGAGTTGCTGGTGGGTTTGAACCACTGACTTTGCAGTTAGCAGCTCAACAATTATCCAGCAGTGCCACCAAGCAAACAACAACATCAAAATCCAAACTCAACACCGTCAAGTCCATTCCGACTCACAGCAAGCCCAACAGGACCGAGCAGAACTCCCGCTGAGGGTTTCTGAGGCTGTGAGACTGGATGCGAACAAAAAGCCTCATCTTTCTTCTGTGAACTGCTGGGTGGACCCTGCAGTTATGGCACCAGGGCTCCTGACAGCACTACAAGGGTGACCCTATTTCTCGAGCCAAGAGTTTCCTGGGAGTGGGGCCTGCATCACTTCTTTCTTAGCTTAAAGAGATGGAAGGTGAAAGAAGCAGGAAGACCAACGGGAACCCGAGTACCACCACGAAAGAGCCAGGAGCGCAGCACAACCTTGGATCCAAGGCCTCCGCACGGAGAACTCCCGAGACCACAGGAAAACCAATGCCAAGGCCTGCGGAGAACGCAGGGGCCACAGATGCTGAAGGGAGATAAAGCCCTTCGCCCAAAAGCAAGAGAGAAAGCGTTCCCCTAGAGTTGGCACCCTCAATTGGGTCATCTACCCCCTAAGCGGGGAGAGAAGGAATTTCTGTTTATGAAAGCCATCCACTTGTGGTATTTTGTGTTCTAGCAACAGTAGATATCTGAGATCGAGGGCCAGGGATGCCTGTGAAGGAGACAGAAGGCACTGTGTGTAGAAGTCTATCTATCCACGTGACATAGTCCTGGCACAGCTAGCCTTGGGGAATCTCTTACAACTTGATCTTCCTTCCCTTTCATTTCTCTTGCCCACAAATGGAGATTTCGCATGTTTAATTTGTTAGCATTTGAAAAACTGCAAAGATAATTTGCAGACACATCAAAGCCTCCCACAAGAGCCCAGAGCCACATTCCTCCAGGCAGCCTAAAATGTCACAATCACTCATTTCTTTCATAATTAATTTCTGTATATAAATTCTTCATGTCAAAAATAATACTCTGTATTTGGTGACACAAATAAAAGATAATCCTTCTCCTTTAAGAAATCTCGTCTTCGGGGAGGAGACGAGCCAGTCAGGGTGCGATGTAACAACGATGAGAAATACAACTTTCCTCTAGTTCCTAAATGCTTCCTCCCCGCTCCCACTACCATGACTCGAATTCGACCTTGCAAGTGTGGCTAGACCAGAGGATGTACACTGGTACAGATAGGAACTGAAAATACAGGGAATCCAGGGCAGATGAGCCCTACAGGACCAGTGGTGTGAGTGGAGAAACAGGGAGGGTAGAGGGAGAGTGGGTAGGAAAGAGGGAACCGATTACAAGGAACTATATGTGACCTCCTCTCTGGGGGACAGACAACCGAAAAGTGGGTGAAGGGAGACGTCGGACAGGGCAAGATATGACAAAATACCAATTTATAAACTATCAAGGGCTCATGAGGGAGGGGGGAGCGGGGAGGGAAGGGAAAAAATGAGGACCTAATGTCAGGGGTTTAAGTGGAGAGAAAATTTTTTGAGAATGATGTACAAATGCGCTTTACACAATTGATGTGTGTATGGATTGCGATAACAGTTGTATGAGCCCCTAATAAAATGTTTAAAAAAAAAAAAAGAAAGAAATCTCGTCTTTTTGAGAGAAAGAAGAAGCAAACGTCAACATAATCTTCTGGAAACACAGAATTTTTTAAAAACCTAACACATTGCTTGAGGAGATAGTACCCTATTCTAGCTTGGTGCTAGAAACGAAGCTGGAGAACACACAATACAATTTTGCAGACCAACGACTTCTTCACTGCCAATACCTTTTTCCAACAACACAAACAGCGACAGACACGTGGACTTCTCCAGGTGGAATACACAGGAATCAAACCGCCTATGTCTATGGGAAGAGAAGATGCAGAAGCTCAAAACCAGCAGCTTAAACCAGGTCAAGGGGTAACTATGGAACTGACCATCAATTGCTCATATTTAAGTTCACACTGAAACTGAAGAAAATGAAAACAAGCCCATGAGAGCCAAAATATCAGCTTGAATCTATTCCACCTGAATCAACAGAACATCCAAGACTGGATCTGACACGATGCACATGAATGACAGAGAACTGAAAAGCTGTGGGGTGACATCAAGGACATCATTCTTGAAGAAAGCAAAAGGTCATTAAAAAGAAAGAAAAGATCAAAGTGGATGTCAGAAGAGTCTCTATGGTAAATGGAGAAATAATGAAGTCAAAGAGCTGAACAGAAAACGTCAAGGGACAGCTTGAGAAGACAAAGTAAAATATTATAGTGAAAAGTGCAAAGACCTAGAGTTAGAAAACCAAAAAGGACGAACATGCTCAGCATATCTTAAACTGAAAGAACTCAAGAAACAATTCAAGCCTCAATCTGCAACACTGGAAGATTCTATGGGGAAAAAATATATAATGATGCAAGCAGCATCAAAAAGAAGGAAAGACTACACAGAGTCTCCATACCAAAAAGAACTAGTCAACACTCAACCATTTCAAGAAGCATATAAGAAAGAACCAATGGTATTGAAAGAAGTTAAACTGTGCTGAAGGAACTGAAAGCATTAGCTAAAAATAAGGCTCCAAGAAATTATAGAATAGTAATTGAAATGTTTCAACAAGCTGATGAAGCATTGGAAGCACTTACTCATCTGTCAGAAAATTGGAAGACAACTACTTGGCCAACTGCCTAGAAGAGATCCACATTTGTACCTATTCCAAAGAAAGGTGAAACAGAACACACAGATTATAGAACAGTATCATTGATATCACAAGCAAGTACAATTCTGCTGAAAATCACCAACAATGGTTGCAGCAGCACATTGACAGGGAGCTGCCAGAGGTTCAGGCCAGTTGTTTGCATCCTTTTTATCTAAAAAAGACTGTTGACTTCTTAAGGACGAAGATGATCTCTTATGTGTCACCAGATACTGAGTATAAGGGATATCAATGCTGATGTCAGATCTTGGCTGAAAGCAGAGAAGACCAGAAAAGGATGTTTATTTGTGTTTTATAACAAAGCAAAGGCACTCGACTGTGTGGATCATAAAAATATAAAATTAAAAATATGGATAGCCTTGAGAAGAAGATCAAGAGGCAGTCGTGGGAACGAAACAAGGGAATACTACATGGTTTAAAATCAGGAAAGGTGGGTGGTGGAGAGGGAGGCGAAAAATGAGGAGCTGAAGTAGGGCTCAAGTAGAAAGAAAATGTTTTTAGAATGATGATGGCAACAAATGTACAAATGTGCTTGATACAATGGATGGATGGATGGATGGATGGATGGATGGATGGATGGATGGATGGATTGTGATAAGAGTGGTATGAGTCCCCAATGAAATGATTTTTTTTTAAACCAGAAAAGGTGTGCATCAGGGCGGTAACCTTTCACCATACTTGTTTAGTCTGTATGCTGAGAAAATCATCAGAGAAGCTGGATTATAAGAAGAGTGTGGCATCAGGATTGGAGGACGGCTTATTAACAACCTGTGATGTACAGATGACACAATCTTGCCTGCTGAAAGTGAGGAAGGCTTGAAGCACTTACTGATGAAGACCAAGGATTGCAGCCTTCAGTATGTGTTACAACTAACTCAATGTCAAGAAGACCAAAAGCCTCACAAGTGGACCCATAGCCAACATCATGATCGAGGGAGAAAAGACTGAAGGTGCAAGTATTTCATCTTGCTTGGATCCACAATCAACACTCATGGAGGCAGCAGTCCAGAGATCAAAGGGGATGCCCTGCATTGGCATCTTGACCAATGCAGGCTTCAAGATCTCTTGAAAGTGTTGTAGAGTAAGGATGTTACTTTAAGGACCAAGGTGTCCCTAAGCCAAGCCATGGTATTTTCAATTGCCTCATATGCATATGACAGTTGGATATTGAATAAGGAAGACCAAAGACAAATTGATGCATTTTAATTATGGTGCTGGCGAAGAATCTTAAAGTACCATGGACTGCTAAAAGAACAATCTCTCTTGGAAGAAGTAGTCAGAATGGTCCTTAGAGGCAAGGATGTCAAGACTTTGTCTCATGTACCTTGGACCTGTTACTAGGAGAGAGAAACATTTACTGAAGTAAAGACTATTTTACGCTAATAGTAAAATTGGAAGGGCAGTTAAAAAGAAGGCTCCTGACAGGATGTATTGACACAGGGGCTGCTACAATGAGCTCAAACAGAAGATAACGACGAGGATGGTGCAGGACCGGGCAGTGGTTCATCGTGTTGACACAGCGTAGCCTAGAGTTGGAATGCACTCAACAGCACCTAACACCCGCCACCTTGAACAGGATTATAGTTAAACATGCAGGGAAACACATGCAATAGGGAACATTTCACTTAGAGTTGATTCTCCAACTGCCTTACCTTCATCATAGGACTAAGAAAGGAGGTTAAGCAATTTGTCCATGGTCATAAAGTTAAAAATCAAGGCTACGGCTAGAATTCAAGTCACCACATTTTTCATATTTATTGTCATTTCATAGTCACATTTCTGAGGTTTTCAATGAATCATATTTTCCTTTGATGATTTCAGAAGTATTAAATCTGATTCTGAATCAGTGGTTTAATAATACAACCTTAAATTCCTCCTCGATGCTAACAAAGCACCTTTGCTGTTCAATAGCTAACTCTCCTTGGACTGAAAAAAAAAAAGTTTAGAGATTCCTGTGCTTAAAACAAAGTCTCAAAAAACAAAAACAAAGTCTCTTTTTAGGAAACCCGAAGTAGAGCAAACAAACTGTCCTGGAAACAACCACTGCTCCCCAGCCAAGCTCACACAGGAGGTGACCAAGATTTCACCCATCAGTCAGCACACGTGGCAAAGGGCGCCAGTGGCCAGATCCATTAGTTTGACTGGTGATTGATCAGAAGGTCCACTGAGCAGTTTAGCTTCTAGGAATTGCCAGCAAGTTGCAAGAAGGGAGCATCTCAGGTTTTCTCCTTTCCTTTGTAGCACCAAACAGCATTTCAAAGTTCCCACTCTTGCTAAAGACTAGGAGGGGTAATGCAGAAGTCACTGCTGGCTGTGCTGTCCCAGGGAGAACGGAAAGCGAATGTAGTAATCTAGGATGTAGGGGTGTCGTTTCCAGACTGCCAGAGCCCACATCAGCCTTTGCCTACTCCTTCTCACAAGCCGCCAACCCTACTAGTGAGGAAATGGCATGGGGGTCCTGTCTGACCACCTCTAGCTACACAAAGGAGAAGAATCATCCAACTCCACACCAGCCCAAGGCCACACGCCACAAGGCAGAGGGCAGACAGACCTGACTCCAGCTCCATTTGCACTACCGTACCCTGACACCAAGCCTCCCCCTCCCAAAGCACCGAGTTGGGTTTGCTAATTCATTACAATGGCCACACTAACTCACAGATAAAACTCACAAGTATGGGGTTTATTAAGGAAAGCTAAGAGTTTACAAAATGTTAAAGATACAGTTCTTTTGTTTGCAATGCCTCTTTGTAGCCGTGCTAGCAGGCATGCCTCTCCCTGGTCCTCAGATCCTCAGCCACATGGTCCTTGGGCCTCTGCCTTGTTCCATGGGTCAGGAAGCCTGCCACTCTGACCCACCACCTCAATGCTGTTTTGGCCCTGCCTGGCAGGTTCAGCGCTATGGCCTCAAGTGCCCCTATCACTTCAGACAGGTATCTTGCATGTATTCTGCTTGTGGCTCTTTTTTATGGTCCTCGGACCCTCTCTCCATTTCTGAGACGGCTTATACACTCAGGGGAACGGTACAACCAAACAATGCTCTCTTCTAGTCTTCCACATGCCCTGTTTGCATGATCCTACCCAATCGGTCTAAAAAGGAGCCCTGGTGGGTAGTGGGTTACACACGGGGCTGCTAACTGCAAGGTTACCAGTTTGAAACTACAAGCTGCTCTGCAGGAAAAAGATGAAGCTTTCTACTCCCACAAAGACTTACAGCCTCAGAAACCCACAGTTCTACTGTCCGATAAGATCACTGAGAGTCAGAACTGACTGGATGGTAGTGAGAGTTTGAGAGAGACCCAATCGTTTGGTGAGAGCTACAAGCCATAGCTAGAACAGCCAAATCAAGTAATTTCCCTTTACCATAACTAGTAAGAACAGTCAGTAAGCTTTTATTGTTTTTAACTACCGTACCTTAAACCTCAAAAGGCGCCCCAATGGCCTAGTGGGTTATGCATAAGACTGCTAACCTAAAAGCCACCAGTTCAAACCACCAGTTGCACTACAGGAAAAAGATGAGGCTGTCTGTCCCCATATAGATTTCGGCCTCGGAAACTCAAAGGGGCAGTTCTACTCTGTCGGAAACTCAAAGGGGTGGCTGTGTGTCAGAATCAACCTGACAGTACGTTTGTCGGTTTGCTTTTCGTTTTTTTTACAGACAGATCTGACTTATGCCTTAAGAAGGCCCTTACACTTTTTAAGAAGCTTGTGAGCAACAGCAATTTAGAAACAACAAACCCTTAGAATCCATCTTTTATTTGATCTTATTGAATGACACTTCGCTCAGAATCTAATATCTAAAGACAGACCTTGGAACCAGCTATGTCATTCCTAGGGACTCAGCCTTTAAAACATTCACAAGTCTCAGGAAATGTACTTGCACATTGGAGACATGGGCTGTTGACAGCCTCACGCTCATGATTGGTTAGCTAAATAAATCATGCTACATATTCTTACAATGGAATTCAACGCATTCTGTGACAGTCTGATGTTTACCTACATTAACTAATGACAGAACATAAAATAAGACTCCTGAGAGTCGGGGCAGGATTGGGGCGGCCTTGCAGCTCCTTCCAGGTCTCCCAAATTTTCCGCCTTTGACAGGTGGGCAGGCACCACCTTTCTACTGCACGCTATGTAGTAGAAACTATTTTTGCTTTCCTTCTACAAATGTCAGCCTTTACAGTTTCTGGCTTTCACATGTTTTACTGTATTAATAATGTGAGGAAAATTATTGTAAACATGTACAGTATTTCCCTTATGCAAAATTTTACATTTCTAGCAAGGACAGGCATATATTCTCTCCCCGCTCTCTACACACACAAACACATATACTACATACATAAGGTGGGAGAGAGAAGATATGTGCTGTATATACATATATGCAAATAGGACAATGTTGGTCCAAACGTGACAGTGGTTACTGCTGGTTCTGGATTATAGAATTTCAGAAAGCATTTGCTTTCTGTGTATTTTCCTATGTTGGGCTAATGTTCTATAAGTATATACAGTATTTTTCTAACTTCTGCATCCTAAGGCAAAAAAGTTTTAAAGGCTTTTACTTCATGCAAGAGAAATGTTAATGTCCTCAAGTTTTAGTATAAATATTCATGTGAAACTTGCTTTTACAACTGTAAAAATAGCATGGTGGAGGCATCTGACCTCTAACTTCGAGGGAGGGGAGAATGCCCACCCCATAAGAGCAGGGCTGGTTCCCCTGAAGGGGAGCCCACAGACTCCTCTCTATCTAAACAGTTTACCAATTCAGACACCAGCCAGCCCTCCCAGGCTATACTCATGATTAGGCAAGTAACAAGTTATAATCCCGATCCGGAAGGACTTAGAACACAGCTCTCCACTCAGGACAACTTCTCGGCTATACCCACAGACAGATCTTGGGAAGCCTTTTGGGCCAGTCTGGCCTCTGTCGCCCATTGGGATAAGTATTGAAAAGCTCATTCACTCTGCTACTGACAAGTGCCCAGAGGAAGCCCAATCTGCCAATAAGCCTTCACCTGGGGTCACTGCTCTGAGTCCTGTGGGTGGAGCCTGGATCTGGCAGCAAGCCTCCTGCCCAGAGGCACTCACTCACTTTCTTGCATCCTGGACAGACCCCGGCAGTCTCCGACAATCTCCTGGACAGGTAAGTGTTTCCCTGCTGCTGCTGCTGCTTCTCGCCGTCTCCAATATTACAGCTCTCTGGCGGGCTCCGGGTCCAGGAGGTTCTCAGTACTCCACTCTGCACTCTACCTTCTTGGTGGTGGTGGTAGGTCTCCCCTTCCACCCTCTGGGATGGCTCATTTTAAGTCTAGTGGAATGGCAAAACTAACCCACCCTTCCACTAGAATTCCATACTTATTTGCATGGCCCCAACCCCACAAAGGTGCTATTTACCTTATTTACATGAAGAGCAAGCTATCAACCTCCCCCCACTAGCCCCCCCAACCCTGTGGTTGCCACAAACACCCTGTTTGTCTAGCCTCCCCCAGTCATTTGGTATAAATGACAAGAGTGTGATGAGAAGAGCCAAATAAAAGTGAGCCATCCTATTATACCACTAGCATCCCCGGCCTCCCCCCATAACGTAAAGTTTTTCTTACAGGTAAACACAGATAAAGAATACAATCCAGGCACTAGTCTACCTCAGCAGGATTTCCTCCTATTGATGCCTCAGATCTCCAGGACAGAGGACCAACTGTTGGGAGTCACATTGGTGTGGTGTCAATTAGAGCCCTGGGAATAGGGTCACCTTGCACAGAGACAGCGTGCCCTGGTGGTACAGTGGTTAAAGTGCTGGGCTGCTACCTGAAAGGCTGGTGGTTCAGTCCCCCAGCTGCACTGCAGGAGCCTGACATTGCAGCCTGCGTCCCTAGAGCGAGCTTAACATCATCAGGACAGCAGAACAGAAATAACAACAAGGCAAACCCACCGTGAAAGGTGTGCCCACTGTCAGCCAAAGGTATGGAGGTATAGAAACTGTTCAATGAGAACCCAAGTTGTCCTGCAACTCACCCAAAATACAAGATTCTTTTTAATATATGTGCAATTTTCAAAATCTCTTCTCTCCGACTATCCCCCTTCAAGCTCTACGCAAAAGAGGGGATAAAAATTCTACACACCACACAATTTGCCTGTGTATCTCTGGGTGAGATACATTGCAATGAGATGAGGCAATCTGTCTCTGTGAAGACGACACAAACCTCTGGGAACCCCATGCAGCGGTGTGACTGTCACATGGGGTCCATGAGTTGGAATGGACTCAATGAGCAAGGGGTTTGTTTGGAGTTCAGCACAGTTATGACACGGCGGCCTTGGGAACGCCACGGGCGGGGCTGCCCCACCTGCACTGCCTCCGTTCACACACACCTGGAGGTCTCCAGTTTTAGGACTTTAATCAGAAAATAACAAATACCAAAATATATACTTGTTTGATAGCTGGCTTTGTAAGCACTTTTCAGTCCATTCTATCTGAGATGCTTATAGGCAAAAAGTGGGAATGGATCCCAATTTGATCCCAAGAGAAAAAATGTAGACTATTTGTGTGGCAGAACATTTCCAGATATATACACTCGGAATGTGGAACAGCCTATATGATGGGTGCAAAGCTCTAAACAGATTCAAGTAGAGCGGTTCTCAACCTGTAGATCGTGACCCCTTGGGG